TTTTTTTTCAAAGCCCCCTACCACCATTTTTCAGTGCAGAGACGCTCAGTAACGCTGATACACATGACGGGGAAGGATGCTGGAGCGCATCAATTTCCGTGCTCCAGCAGACTCTATTAACTGAGTCTGCTCCAATACACTGGATTTCCAGCTGGAAATCCAGTGTGTCGGAGTAGGCTCTGTGAATGTGTATAGGAGCTCAATATGGCTCCTCATAATGAATATGACAGAGAATTGTGTCCTGAAAGACAAGAGCAATTGCTTGATGCTAAGCATACTGTATGCCACAAAAGGCTATTCTTCCCTTCTATGATTTCTGGGACGTAGACTCTGTGCTGCATACTGTGCAAGACAGAAGCCAAAGGTAATGAACTATGAAAGATTACAGCTAGGCTACAAAGGCTTTCAGTACTAAAATCTTTTGTTATAACAGACTGTTTCCAGATCCACATAGGGAAGTCGTCAGTCTGAGAAGCCCAGAAGCTTGAACGGGGCACTGTGCAAAGCCTAAGCCAGCCCTGTCAATTTGGAGCACATCTGTGCGACTGATTGCCTGAGGGATTATTTGAAGTGTGGTCCAAGATGCCCAGATGTTTACTGACAGAGTTTGATTATGCGTGTCTCTGAACTGAGATGATTGCTGTGTCAATGAAGACTGCAGCAGAAGACACAGAAGAAAAAAACAGCCTGAAATAAGAAAGGTGTTCACTACGTGTGTACCAGTCGTGCAAGGGCTGGATTGCCTTTTCAAATGTCCCCCTGATGGCCAGACAGATTGCAAGAAAACATCACTTCAGAGAGGAATCATCAAATCATAGGAAAGTGGGGCTGGAAGGGACTACTGGAGGTCACCTAGCCCAACCTCCTGCCTGAGGCAGAACTTGGAGCAAAACCTTGGCTAACCTATTATTAAAACTACACCGGCAACCCTGCCACACAACTATAAAGCATAGATCCATAACCTGCCACAGGTAAAGCAGGGAAATATACCACAAGGAGGGACACACAAAGCCTAAGCATAACTGCAAATGCAGCTCTAACCACTCCAGCTGAACAAATAAAATAGCTCAGCCTGTTCATGGGTGCCTGCGACTGCAACAACAACTGCTTAAAATGTAATACAAAGTGCCAAGTCACACAGCACAAACAGCCACGCACAGAATAAACCCCAGAGAAGCTCGGATGTCATTGGGGCAGAGCCCGAAGTGGCTGAGAAGTCCTTAAAAGGTCCCATGACCTAGGACCTGAGATATTTCCCTTCTTTATATCACAGCCAATCTTCAAAAGAAAGAAGAAATAAAACGGGTGGGGAGGGAACAATGCCTTGGCTTCATACTCATGACCAGTTCTGCAATGAAGAGCAGCCACCTGCATTTGGAAGGGAGCGGTTCCACCCCGCTGGACGGTTTTTAAAGCATGGTCACAACCTATGGGTGCCAGCCGTGGAACTGGCTAAACAAGCCTCTGGAAAAGCTTGATAAAGTCCTCAGTAGTGACAAGGGTAAATGAGGAAATATTCCAGTCCCCATACAATAAACTAAATGAATCTGCCAAGTTTTCAAAAAGGTCAACCCAGGTTAGTGGGCTCTCTGTTTTGCTAGCCAGTCCCCCTCTCCAAAAACAATCTGCTTCTGCATACCTGTCTGACTCATGTGGGTAGTGGTTGGAGGGGGGGTGGGTTCTGCTGTAGAGCAGAGAAATAATATGAACTGTCCAAACTGTCAATCTGTGTTGCAGATGTAGGACTGGTACCTCCCAGCAGCTGAGCACTACCTCACTCTGTAAGTAGTCCCATTTTCATGGTGTTAGGTCATGAGCCCCTTAGACAGGGAAGTAATTCCCCCTCACGTGTAGCCTCTTGAAGTGAATGTGACTACTCATAAGAGCACCTGTTCACCAGTGAGCAGCAAGGAGCTTGCAAATTGTATAATTCCCAGTTTGCTACAGAATTCAACACAGCTCTGCCACAGACGCTGGAGTATGATGTGCTGCGTAGTACATGAGGTTTTGCCCAAAGGGCATTTAAACAGACTCAGCAGAAAGGGCTCGTTAGTTTTGCAATCAGCATTTTTCAAGAGCAAGAGAAAACCGAGCCATCATCCTTTTATGGGGAGATTAATCTGTTTGGTGTCTGCAGAGTTTGTTAACATCAGGAATTATGACAGGAATCCTGTCATGCTTCCTGAGACTATGACCTGAACTTGACCTTATTATCTTGAGTTTCCCATTCTCACAGAGCTGTTTCTTAACATAAACAAGGGTTTTCACTTGGCTCTTAAAAACAGCATTTCCCACTGAAAATTATACAAGCTCTGGCTAGTTAATGCTGGTATTCCAAACACATGTTTAGCTGGTGGAATTCAATGTATATTGCCAAGCCTCGTTACACCTACAGGGAAGTCCAGAGGCAGTCAATGCAGCCACACACTTGTATGTAAAGCAGTGAGGTCCCCCATTTGAAGGACACTTGAAGCCTCCGTCTTGTAGGACTCGGTTCTATCCCATCCAGGCGTCACAACCATTGCAATACTTGCAATCACTTTTGTCTGTGTTTGTTTATCAGTGCACAGTTACCTACACCACTTCAGGCATAAAATTCAAACATTTATGTTCTGAGTTAACACTTTTCAAACAGACGTATAGAACTGCAGAGCTGGGCCTGACAATCCAGGATGATATTCCAGGATGATAATCCTGGTGACACTGCTGATACAAGAAGAGGCACCATGTGGTAAGCCCTCAGGAGAGTTAGGGATCAACTGAGAGCTAATTATATTCTGGAAAATAGAAAATATTGATATATGCATGAAACATTAAAAAATGTGGATTTTAAAAAATCCTCCAAACCCCAGGAAGATAAAGAAAAATTTATCACGAAGGTCAAGGAAGAACAACTAGAAGTGATGAGATGAAATGACATCCCAGCGGAGAAGACTGGTGGAATGGTCAAAGCCCTGTTGCTCGAGTCCTACCTAAGGCCAGCTTCTACCTTCAAGCCTGTGAATCCCACTGGGAGCAGTGAGGCTCATCAGGTTTCTTACAGTTTCCAGGATTCAGTCCACAGAAAACTGCAAAACAGGATTCTACAAGCACAACACTATCCACAACATGACTATTGAAAATTTATGGCATCCCTAGCTACCTACAGTGTCAAGAGTGCCCTATAGCCCTACTGTTTCCAATAATTTCTACTGAAATGGGAACATCTGTATAGTCCCTGTATGGGCTGGTATTAGATTAAATAATAGGAAACTGATGCTTTCTACTAGGAGAATTCAAGTGCATAAACATATTCAGATAATTTTAGCTTGACACCTAAAATGAATTTATTAAGGGTTAAGGCGCTGATGAACTGCTACATATAATATTCATTTTTTAAGTTCTTTAAAGCTCCAAAATTATTAGACCACTGGATCAGGCGCTGCACTCTGGATTGGCACAGAAGTGACTTTAATTAAATTAATACAGGCAACCCTCACCATTCACGGGGGGATACGTTCTTGAGATCCCCGTGAATGGCAAAATATGTGAACACTAACAGAGCTCCCCGTCAGACCAACAGGGCTCCCCCTCAGACCCCACAGCTGCCCCCTGCTCCCCCCCATTGTTTGCAGGGCTCCCCCACAGCGCCTGGGGACTGACCTCCCCACCCCGGCCAAGTGCTGCCACAGCTGTTCCAAGAGTCGCCGCAGCCACCACCCTCCCCATCCCTGGGGCTCCCCTACAGGGCCTGGGGACCTACCGCCCACTGAGCACTGGCAAGCTGTCGCCAGGGGAGAAGATGCCACCACCACTGCCACCTCCCTCCGTATCCCTGGCACTTGCTCTGTGCCTGCCTCCCGGCTCTGCCCTTCCCCATGAATATTTGAATCCATGAATCCAGAGTTCATGAGTAGCAAGGGTTTCCTGTGTAGAGTTATGTCACTGAACTGAGAGTAGAATATGGCCCACTGCATCTCAATAGATGGTGTATATCTGTGATGCTCAACCTTTTGGCCCTGCAGCCCAGATGAATAAGGTGAGGCCAGTCCATGGGCCAGATCAAGCCCTGCATGCTAGGATCAGGCCCTGGGACCTGGGATTGGGTCCCGAGTGCCTGATACCACCCCTTCTCCCCATACCAGGACTGGGCTCTGGGTCCTGGTGCCACCACTCCCAGCCCTCCATGTGCTGGGATCAGGCCCTGGTGCCCAATGCCACCCCCATCTGGCCCTGCACCCTGGTATCAGGCACCCAATCCAGCATAAAGGGCTTGGGGCTCCTCATGGGTCCAGAAATTTGACAGTGGGGAGTAAGGCTGCTGTTGTCCCACTGCCAAACTTCCAGATCCATGAGGAACCCCAGAGGCCAGATGACATGGGGCTGAAGGCTACATCTGGCTTGCAAGCAGGGGTTAAGCACCCTGGTCTACGTTACGACAATGCATCCACCTTGCTCATATTAAAGGTGTTTCTGGCACAGACTGCTATAGGGGCCTTGAAATGGAAGTAAACTATATTTCTATCCACTGTACTGCTTTTATACTGTTAGACTGGTGTAAAAAGGCCATGTATATATGGGCCCATTTGGCCTGTAGGATATACGTTAATATGGGATCAGCACCTGTGCAAGACAACGAGCATTTTGCTGCTCACTTGAATAAGCATAGGAACAGGCCCATATATAGACTCGCCTACATTTTCTCTAGCTGAACTTCCTTTTCCTTTTCAGAAACCAGTTATTTATGGTACACAGAGTATATTTTTTAATACTACATCCCTGTGGGATGGTCTGGCATGACCTGATTACTTTGTTCAAGATTGTATAATGGGAAAAATGCTCACATCTTAACCCAGTTGGTGTTCTAGATTATGAGGCTGCTGTAGTTCACCCTCGCAGCTAGGCTGTTGGTTAAGAAAGCAGTAGCACTGTTTGTCTAAAAGGTTCAACAGTGTAAATAACATCAAAACCAAAGGGTATTTACAAGAGCAAAGCAATCAAACCCAAGCATCCAATGTTACCTTGTTACACCATACTCCGGGGGAGGCTGGTATCTGACAACTGCTACTTCTGTTCTCGCTGGCTGTGGAGCAGGGTAGGAGGGTTTGAGAATATCTTGCATCATCCCAGAGTGTTGGTCATTATAAAACAGCCCATGTTCCTGAGTCTTGCTGACTGGAGACACCACCTGCTTGGCTTTGTAGGGATATTCAGGTGGCGGACCTCGCGGGTCCGTTCCTTTGCCAGAAGGCTGAGCAGGTGGCAGTCCACCAGTTTTGAACCCTTTGTTATTCCCTGAGGTAGGGGGATGTTGTTTAGCACCATTCCTCTCCAATGATAACTGCATGATCCTCTCACTTAGAGAGCGGACATGGCCCTGCTTTAGCTCTTTAAGCGCCTCATCTTTATGTGCTTGCCCACTGTTGGCCCGGTTCACAGTTGGTCTCCCTTCTGTTCTGGATTTCTGACTGGACACTCCACCAACATAAAAACTGGGCCCAACAGCACCGGGCTGCTGGCCCCGAAAAAACTGGGACTGAGCCTTAGCCTCTTCATAGGTTGGTAGTTCCTCATTGTTCTGCTGAGGCTGAACAGTGGCCCTAGACTGCTTCTCCATCACAGTATTGTCCACCTGATGTTCTTGCCCCTGAGGTTCCTGGCGAGCTGACTGGTGGACCATTTGTGGGTCTTCTTGTGTGAGGTTTTCCGTGGAAGAAAGAGTGCTTGTTGTGCTGTTGGATGGTCCTACGCTTCCTGTGGCCTGGTGCTGAATTGCCAGCAGATTCATGTTCTCATTTGGGTTGCCATACCTCAGCTGCTCCTGGATCAACCGCTGTAATACTGTTCCAGCTGCAACATCCTCTGAACCTCTCATTTCCACCTCTGAGATCCTGAGGAAGTTTGGGGGATGCAACGTGCATACAGGGTCCTCAACTAAATGGAAACAGATGAAAGTGAGGATTTGTATTTTGCCATCACACCAGTCTTTAAACCATGCAACTGCTGAGAAACTTTAATCCTTTCACATTCAACACCTTACTCACTAGTCTAGACACAGAAATACAGTCAATACCTTGAGAAAACTCAGTGCTACTGAAAATAGTAAGATTGTAAAGATGTAATTGAAAGCAGAACCAGCCATTGGCTTTGTCTCTCAATCCAGTGGTTTGCCTCATTTCTACTAATTTTATCTCTAAATAACTGAGCTCCATAATTTTGCAGGGTGGATACTAACAAGGGGCCAGGGGTTGGACTAGATGACCCTTGAGGTCCCTTCCAACTGTATGATTCTATGACGATACAGTGGCAGATTTACTATAAGTCAGGTCAGCTATATAGTTCCTGCTTGATAGGCCCCTTAGAAACACTATGAATGGAATAGATAGCTAGTCACAGTTCATATGGACAATAAAAAGGATAGTGCTGTCCTTCCAAACTAAAGAAAAGTGACACACCTCCAAATACTGTATACCTGAGGTCAAATACTGCAAGAACTTGTACCCTGGGCAACTCACTGGGTTCAGGGAATATGCATAGGTTGTGATTCAGGGCAAAAAAGTTACTTCGTATTTGAAGTTCATTCTAATCCAATTTTTCAACAGCTGAACCCATTCACCCATTTGCCACCAGTAACAATTTGAACCCAATGAACTGCCCAAAGTGATATATGGAGCTGGGGTCTCTACTGCTTCAGAGCAATAACCACATGTAAAGGGGATTGTACCTACTCTTACTTGTCACTGCATATAACACGAATAACTCCACTGCATTCAGTGAAGTTACTCCTGAGTGACTGGTGGAAACTAAATTATAATCAAGCCCTCAGCACCAGAGAGAATTCTCTCAAATTCTTTGATGAAGTTTTCTTGTCCTCCTGCCTTTTCAGGGACAGGTTTTTGAGGTCGTTCTTGAAAATGTTATTTTTCAACCCTGATGCTCACAGTTCTCAGAGGAGTTATTTAGAAGCACTTTATTCTTTTTCTCCATTTGAAAGTAGTTAAAAAACAAACTTTCTCTGGAGGCTTGGAATTTCCCTAAGCCTTCATCTGTTATCCCGCACATTGTGTGTTCACTTATATACAGTTTGGTTGCCAGATGAAAAAGAAACACCCTCAGCTCTTAGCTAAGAGAAAAGGCCATTTCCATTAACATTTTTGTGGCAAAGACTTCAAGATGATTGTAGGGTATGCAAAGGAAAAAAAGACTGCATGCTGCTACTCCAGAGACAGAGCACTGCATGCTGCCCCACTTTCCTCCAGAGGACATTAACTGCTGATGCCAATGGTTCTCAGCCTTTTTAGACTCAAGGCACCTTCAATAGGCTCAAGGCACTACACAGTAGACTCAAGGCACCCCTTCATAATTTCTGTAAATTAACTGACACCCCATTTAAAAAACTAACTTATTATAGTGCTTAAATCCTTGCAGGGGGCCTGGGTAGTGGGGGCAGGGACTAAGCTGGAGCCTGCACTTGACTGCGCATCTCCTTGCACCTTGCGGCACTCTTCAAAGGATCTTGCAGCACCCCTTGGGTGTCCTGACACCCTGATTGAGAATCAGTCCTGTCCTCATTAACAAGACAAAGAATGCTGGACCTAATCCTTGTCAGAAGATGTTTAAGTCACATTAAAAAAATTCAGGGCAAAATGCAGATTGGTAAATTAAGGACCCAAAAAACATCTAGAGAAAAACCAATCCTGAAAGTCCCAGCCACAAAACGCAGAAAGCAAAGTTTCCTCACTGTCTAACCTGGGGCTTTCAAGAATGCTAAAAAGCAATCCAGTCTGAGCAGTTAGGTGCTTACCTCTTGCCCACTCTCCACTACAATGCAGATACGAGACAGACTGACACCTAAATCCCCAAAGAGACCTGATCTATTAGACATGCTTCAAGCATGTCAAATGCCCAATCACATCACTGAGTTCAGCACAAAGCCCAGCAGCCACAATCATTCATTCAAAGACCTCAGGGCATACTGCACTCATAGCCAATCGTTTGTAAAATAGGCTAGTGGCTACAGAGGACACAGGATACCTGGGGTCCAGACCTTTCACAGACTGAGGGTATTCAAACTCACATACCCTTCTTCCCAGAAGAGTACCTTACCCCAGAGGTAGTCAACCTGCAGCATGAGTGCCACAAGTAGCTTGTGTGTGTGGCACATGGCAGATCTGGGAGGGGGCAGACAACACAGCAGCAGCCAGGACAGAAAACAAAAGGCAGAGCAGGACATTGGACAGGAGCACAGGGTATGGAGCAGAAAACAGAGCAACAGATCAGACAGTGGAAGGGGATCAGAGTGGCACTCACGGTGGGTGTTGGGCTAATTTGTGGCATGCCTGCCACAATGAGGCTGCCCCCATTGCCCTAATGGGCTAAAATGTAGGCCGGGTGGGGTGGCACTCTCCACCCTCATGTTGAAGGTGGGATTGCTGCACAGTCAAGAGTCATGCGGCCAAGCAGGAGGGAGTTTGTCACTAAAGCCTAGTGGCCCCTGCCTTTGTAGCTTAGCATGGGTAAGTTCTGGGTTCCAGTTCCTGTTCCCAAGGCTCTGTATGGATTTTACATTAGAAAGATAGTCATCGGAGTAAAAAAAAAAAAAAAATTAAAAATCCAGAAAACCAGGCTACAAATGCAGGTTCCCTTTGGCTTGCTTTATTTCTGGGTGCACAATTGCCTAGGTCCAACTAGAGGGATGGAGAGTTTCTCTTTACACACACACAACCCTCAGGCAGAATCCATGGTCATGTCTACATCCTGGAGCAATCTGCCCTGGACAGGCTGACCCTGAGCACAGCACAACATACCACCTACCACCCCCTGTACACATACACCAAATCCAGAAGAAAGCCAGTGAGACTGTTCTGGAGTCGCACACAAAACCCATTTTCAAGCACTTTTATGACCAAGGTCTTGGGAGCAGTCCCTGGAGCAACTTCACTAATGTATTTCCAGGTTTTAAGCGTGTATGTGGGTGCAGGTGAGCAAGACATGCTCAGGAACATATGAACTGGAGCATAGGGCCACAGAGGTGCAGAAACATCCCAAACCACTCTCTTCCTGTGCAAGTGCTCTAACCATTAAGATATCAACCACCAGGTTACTGTATGAAAGGGGGATACCTCCACCAACCGTGGCCAACTGGCTGCACTCTGGATCCATGAAGACAGAGGGTGCTACCGGGTATCTTCAACAACTCCAGGGAGGGGTGGTACCTCAGACATACCCTTTGCTTGGTGTTTCCTCTTGGGTAGCTCTAGGCAACTCCCCGCACTCAGTGTCTGGGCTCTCTGAGTAGCCCTTCAGAGGCCCTAACTCTCCCACTGTCAGTATAGGGAGCCTAGATTCCTAACTCTGCTTCTTTGAATTAAATATTTTGCCTGAGTGCAGAGCATGCACCTATGAAATCACTGAAAGACGAACACTTTTGCAAGGGCTGAATTCCATTCAAATCTTCAAAATAATATGGCATAAAATTTTTGGACAGGCTGGAAAGCTGAACCTGCAAAAGTCACAGACGGACACCCCCCCCATGAACAGACACAAAAGGGGACTGTTTATACTTTTCCCCAGCCTGCCCTCCAGCTACTACTCTGAACTCATAACTGCTGCTATTTTATTTTATTGCACCAGTCCTGAGAGACCCTGGCAGACTGGGCATTTTGCAGACACACTGCAACAGTATCATTTCTGCCCCCTAAATCTCACTATCCAGGCTATGACAATAAGCACCATGCGATAGGTGGAGAATGACAAGGTCAGGATGAAGAAAGCAAGTGCACCAAACATAAGTGGAGGTTTCACTTCAACACCCACTTAGTCACTGACCTATTTGTGCCCCAGCACAAATATTCTGGTGACATGATTTAGCTACCTATTTTCTGACAATCTATCCCCTAAGGCCTGGTCCATGATTATTTTTCTCAGTTTTTGCAGTTATGTGCCATAAAAAAGCTATGTGGCTTGGTATAACTATTCAGGGCAATAGAAGCTATGTGCCTTGGTATAACTATTCAGGGCAGAAAGGCTAAAACAGCGACCAAATTTAGATTAGCAATGGGAATCAAGGACAACAAGTCCTTCTTTAGGTACATAGGAAACAGGAGGAAAACAAATGGGAGTGTGGGGCCATTGTTCAACAACTCACGACAGCTGGTTTTTGGCACCCAAGAGAAAGCTGAACTCCTGAATGACTACTTCGCCTCAGTCTTTCACCAGACCAAGGGGAAAACTACGCCAGGTAGAGTAGAGGATGAGCATGGTAAGAATAATCACCTTCCTACTATACCTGTAGAATTGGTGCGTGACCAATTAATACAATTAGATGTATAAAAGTCAGCAGGACCTGATGATCTTCATTCGAGAGTGCTGAAGGAGCTGGCCAAAGTCATTGCGGAACCCCTGGTGAATCTCTTCCACAACTTGTGGCGCTCTGGAGAAGTCCCTGAAGACTGGAAAAAGGCCAATGTTGTGCCCATCCACAAGAAGGGCAGGAGGGAGGACCTGGGTAACTATAGGCCAATTAGCCTAACTTCCATCCTAGACAAAATCCTAGAAAAGTTCATCAAGGAGTCTATCTGCAATAAGCTTGCAGAAGGTAAGATTCTGAACGACAGCCAGCATAGCTTCATCAGGGGCAGGTCTTGCCTTACCAACCTCATCTCCTTCTATGACCAGGTAACTCGCCACCCAGGTACAAGAGAGCAGGTTGATATTATACACCTAGACTTCCAAAAGGCCTTTGATTTAGTATCCCATGATGTCCTCACGAGAAAATTGGAGGATTGTGGGCTTTACTCTGAGACAGTCAGGTGAGTGAGAAACTGGCTGCAGGATAGGACCCGGAAGAGTCGTAGTCAACGGATTTGTGTCATCCTGGCAATAAGTGGGCAGCAGTGTCCTGCTAGGGTCAGTGCTCAGTCTAGTACTTTTCA